TGCCATTGTTATTTATTATCCAAATCATCAGAGTGAAAGTTTTTTCCCAGAAGTCAGATGGTAAGCATAAACAAGACCTGAATAACAAACTGATAAATTTCCAACGATTTTAATTCCATCCTAATTTCTTTTGTCATAAAACAATCGATTGATTACTTTTTCAGAATGATCTATTTTATTTATTGATTGTCGAAGTTTGCTTGCATGTAGACTATCAGATTTCTATTCACCAACATTCCTGTTTCCGTTTGTAATATTTATCGTCTCAGTAAAGCCTCTTGTCTTTTTTTTTTTTTTTGAGATATGATATTTCGAATTTGTTTCTCTAACTAAGGCTTTATCGTTCATGGGTTGAAATGTTACTTGGTGAACCATCAACATGGCGAACAGATTTTGTGATATTTACATATAATTTTTCGAGTGACTTTCGAAAACTTGGTTGTGTTAATCGTCTTCGCCAAAACAAACAAGAACCATCTATGTGCCGTCTTTTTCTCTATGTACCAGTAGAATTTCGAACAGAGATTGTTACGAAAAACAATTTTCAACATGCATTTGATGATGCAAAACGTGTCATAGAATCATATAAAGATATGAATGACTCATTTATTGGTGTACCATTAGTAAATGATAAAGAAACATTTGATGAAAAACGCTCAAAATCTCTTTATGAAAATCTTCGAACATATGGTTATATTGATTCAATTAATTCAATCTATGAAGGTTATTGGACACTTAAAATGTATGATTTTATTTTACGTACTGATATTGGTAAGTTTAAGGTTTTCGATTGTACATTAAATTAATATTTATCACTTCTTTCATAATTCCAAGTAAGACATCGAATATGCATAGTTTTGAGTGAACAACTTTCGGATATTTTATTTCATCGTTGGCATAAAAAGATTGCATACTATGTGAAATTTTATGAACAATAAGTGAAGTTTAAAATATAAGAAAACAATGAATACTTTTTTTAAAATTTTTCTATTGTTAATGTTTAGTCTAATCTATGTATTAAACCATATATAACGCATGAATCTCTATGAACCTTCTTTGATGTCTTGTTCTTTACATCAATGATATATGGTCTAAAGAATTAGTTACCCTAGAATATGAATAGTAAAGAAAGATTATGAGCAGTTTAATCAACTATAACTCTAACACTTTTCAACTATTTTATTTTGTTAAACATTACTATTCAATTTTTTTTCTCACATTGTTTTGTTTGTCTCTTTGTTTTTTACTGATTTCACGCAAGTATATTCTCATATAATATTATTTAGATGTTTTCATTTATCGTCACTTTGCAACATATATTCCACAAAATTGTACTTTCATAACTGGCCTCGGTGGTTATGGCACAGACTTTAATCGACGTAAATTCAAACGTATTGCTAATGATATGGGCTTTGCACATGCTAATATATCTAACATGGGTTCTACTTGGTTTGTTTCATTATCTTTTTTTATATTAATAATATTATTCTCCTCTTTATTTAAAGGTATGGTTCACCATATGATGCATATTTAGTTGCTAATCAAACACTACATGGTATGCTATGGTTAGCATTATATGAATTTGCTATGCCGGAAAGAGAAGGTAAATTAGGAACATCAATGTGGCCTGAATGGTAAATATCCTTTGACACATTAGTTAAAATACTTATACTTTTCTAGGCATTTTGGTGTTTTACTTTTATATGGTCAACATTTAGCGCTAAATCATTTAGTTGGTATAAATCAAATTCAGCTATTTATAGGTCACGACCTTCTTGATCAATCATCAACAGATGATACAGTGGCATATGTTCAACAAGGGATACGTCTTAATTTACATTGTTGGCATACAGATTTACCTTTTTCGAAATTTGTTTTCAAAATGGGTAAATATAATCAAACTGACTTGGAAAAATATAAAAATGATACTACTTCTCAAGCTTATGTAAGAAACAAAGAAAATGATGAAAGAAAAATGCTAAAGATGTCTATTTTTAATTTGTATTTAAGGCAATGCGTATGGCACTTGAATCAAAGTATATGACACTTGAAGAATTGGCTTCATATGGAAGAAATAAAACTTTATAATCTTAAAATCTATCAAACTATTATCATCATCTATTAAATAATTGCAATATGATTCAAATTACGTACTATTAATAAAAAATCATTTTGTTGTTGATTTATTCATAATGCAGAGGCAACTTTAAAGAGTTTCATAATAACAGAGTTTTATGTAGAATTAATTTAAAGAAAAGGTGTTGTTATGATCAAGATTTAGAATTTTTTTAAATTGAAGAGAGGAGGAGATAACAATTTTTAGTAGACATTCATTTCTATCAGAATTTTTGTATGTTACACTCAGTGTAATTTCTTATGATTGTTCATACGCTAGCATTTTTTCAGTTTCCTTGGTTAGAAAACTATTTTTTGAAATTTTTTCATTTATACTTAAATCCTAATATAGGTTTATCATTCGGTAGACAATATGATGTTGATTACAATCGTTCATATTTTGTTTGAATAGTTTCTCCAGACATCGTATGTTTTTTTTACAAGCATGATCTTCCAAGTTCTTTTTTACCATTTGTTTATTACAGTCTGGACAAATCCTATTCGTATCTACTGCTATAATGAACATGTATGAGCGCACAAGGAAAGATATGAATGTATATATATATGTAATGGGCAAAGAAAACAAGTTGAATCCTATGTATATGTCGGTGTTTATTTTAAAATCAACTGGTCAAGTTTAAAATTAAAGAATCAACTAAGATGGAACTCGTGAACATTTCAGTCTAAGAACCAACTATGGTTCATTTTCACATCAGAAGGTCTTTAAATATTTCTTAGAAAAATTTTAATAAAAACAAGATAGAAATGTGAAGCTTTTAACTTTAGAAGCTGTGAATACAGGAGAAACTCAATCAACTCAAGGCTGAAAAATTTGTTAGTCGGGATCTGGAAACTATGAAAATGGCTTTATGAACAGTTTAGTTGTGTGTTTTTTTTACATATACAGACCAACGATCCCCATATCAAGTTGATATCTGATGCCAGTTTCATTTTTAGCAATATATGTTCAAAGCACCAATTTGAATATCTATGAATACAATAAATGAGGAAAAAAAACTTGAACGATGAAGTCTTTTTTAAACGATTGAGCTATTTATATTCTAAGAGAAGCTAGTGGTACCAAAAAAACAACTCGTTACCGAAGTCACTGCATTCACAGATTGCATTGAGAGTTGATCACACTGTTGCACATCTATTTACATCATTTATTTCAAATTGAATGAAATATAAACGTTATACTCAGTGAGAAACCACAATCAATGTAAGAACGAAAAATGGAAGTTTCGCACAAAAGAAGTTTTTCAAGATTATCTTGAGACTTTCTAGAACTCATCAAAAATAAACTTGTAGGTATTGTGTTGTATCCATCATTTTCACATACATAGACGTTTTTTCTTCATGCCTTGTGTAGCTATAAGCTACATGATTCTATTCTGTATTTCGTAAAGCTTTATAAGGAAAATATTCAAAAATATTCTGATATGAAAATAGATCACATTTGGCTATAAAACTAAAAAGTCTACTAGCTCCATCTTAGGTGTCTTATAAATGTAGAATACTTTCAAAGTAAATTTCGACATATATAGATTCCATCAATTGCCATCATCTGTTGTTGTGTTTTTGTAGAAGTTAATTTCATTACAATCATACATTCATTCTAGAATTTATTGAAATTCCTTATTTGTTTCAATTTCAATGAAGATAAGCATAGTTTGCTTATATGTCATCAATTGCAATGTACTTTCGGAAGATTCAACAAATATTCAGCTTGCTAGATTTCACAAACAATCTATACTATACCAAAGTGAAGAGATACTCTTCACTATCTGCTAGAATAGATAAACAATTTGTTGTATGAAAATTATTATTTGAATATGTACTTTTCCTATTTCATTTTTATGTTTCTGTTTTTTTTTTTTTTATTAAAGAAGGATCGAATAATAGGATATTCAAAAAGAACATTTAGAGATACTACATAAATATGAAATGTTCATAATGATAGATACTGTTTTATTGACAATAGAAGACAACGATAAGAAACATTTTTTCTTCTTTAATTTGTCATATATTTTTAAAAAGGTTCGACCTGTATTTGTTTTTTGATTACAGATGTCGTATTAGAAATAGCATCAATGGCATTTGATAAATCATTGATTTGTGTAATAAAATATAAAATTGATATTAAAAAACCTTTCAAACATTTAAATTATAAAATTCTTTTTAGCTGTTTTTTTTAGCCAAAAACACTTCTGGATTTCGATCTGACTTGTTATTTGTCATCAGTTAATGTTAAATATTTTGTATTAAATTATAGAACTAAGAAAAGTGTATGTTTAATATTAATCATCCTACTAGAGTAGTTGAATGAAAGAAACATGTGTGAATCACTCATTTTTTTTTCGACTACTCGAAACTTCGATGAGTATCGAGGGTTATAGGAGTGCCTGAGGAATCGACAATGAATACCCAATAATATACAGGTTTGGAATTATCGGAGTCTGACAACCACCGGAGGCTCGAAATCGGAACAGAACGAACGAAAAAAATATGTTTCGAATATTTACGTGCTCTTCGCACTCATGATATACTTTTTTAAAGTTTGCTTGGGTGTTTCTCCATAAGAAGTGTTTTAAGCTTGTGGATCTCTACACATCATTGTTTAGCCATGAGAGGTATGACAATCTTGTTCACTATTATTTTTTTGTTTTTTAGATACGATGCTGCTAAAAGAAATCAATAGAAATACGGATGAGAAAGAAGTGAATCATATCATGGCCGTTTTTTGAGAACATTAAAAATAGTCGTTTCTTTTTGTTAAAGTTTGTAGCTTAACCAAAAAAAAGTGTTCCTTTGGTCTAAAACTGTACTTACAATTGTCAGTTCCGTTTCGTTTCGTACAAAGTGATTTTATTTTTCATCAATAAATGGTTTATATTGTAGGTAGCTGCTATGAAAATATTAACAACTATACTTGAACATAGGCAACACATAGATTGAGTATGATATTTTTTCAAGGATTATTCACACACTTAATCTAATGAATTGAATCATGTACAGTACTTTTCGAATGGAGGTTTTTAGAATCTGTAAGAGGTATATACACTATAGTTGAAAAAAAATGCTCAAATAAAATTTATGACAAAGGATTTCACATGATTCTGGTCATTATTTTTGTATTGAAAATGGAACTGAATAATCTTATTGCATTTTGTTCCTCAGAGGACAATTAACCCTTTAACCATTATTGACGAGTATACTCGTCAAAGCAATCTTTATGGAAAAAATAAAGATCATAACTCTTTGATTCTGTTTTCTTTGTACGCTCTGTGTCGATCCTAACATCCTGTACTGAGTAAAGCTCTCTTTACCGGTTCTGATGTTTCAGATCGATTATGTTCCTGTGTTTCTGTGTATCAAAAGTTGTTCTGCGAAAAGTTTACTATTTGATTTCAAAAAAATTTAACGGTTAAAGAGTTAAAACAAAGAGTGCACACTAAAACCAGAAGTACAAAGAAGCTTGACACAAGACAGATAAGTGTGAACTTGATAAAAAAAACAATAGTTGAACAACAAACAATATATGATAGCATAGAATGATGATGATGATAATAATTATGTTTCTTCAGATTGAGTCTTCTTAAAAAACATCAAATAATTATGTAATGCTATATCTAGTTTATACTTAAAATGTTCAATCACTATTAATGAAAAACATATTTTAATAAAATACTTTAGTTTGAACGAAGTTCAGGATTTGATAATTTACAACAGAAAAAATGAATAAATCTGTTATGATCATTTAAGAGCGTGTAGATTTTGAAGAAGTTTTATGCAGATTTTTTTCTTTTCGTTCTACGATCTCATAGAGAAAGCATCGTTGAAGAAAGTAAAATTATTTCCGCTAGAAGTGTTCTTTTTCAATATTAATTCTCGATCACTATTAGAAAAGACTTGTTTGAACTTCAAATAAACTATTTCTTTTCTCTTTAATATTTAGTTCGCATAAATCGTGTGACATTACGTTTAATTCTATCCGCTATTGGAATAAGTGTATGTTGCTTTTTACTCGTATTGATTGTACGTAACTTCAGTAATAATACTCATGAAAAAGAACCGAAGTCAGTTAAATGTGACTATCCATCAACACAAACTTTATTTTCTCAAACAACTTCATCAGTATCAAATATTACTCGAAACAAACCCATACTGAAACCATGTAAACCACTTAAAAAAACTTCTCCTGTGCAACGTGCCATTGTTATTTATTATCCACATCATCAAAGTGAGGAGTTTTTTCCAGAAGTCAGATGGTAAGCATATAACATATGAATAAATAACCGATAAATAATAACAGACTTTTATTTTGAATCAGATTCTTTTATCATAAAGCAATCGATCGATTATTTTTTCAGAATGATCTATTTTATTACTGGTATCAAAGTTTGTTCGCATGTAGACTATCAGATTTTTATCGACCAATATTCTTGTTGCACTATTCAGAGTTCTTTCTTTGAATGAATCCCTGTGTTTTTTTTTATGAAAAATCATTTTTTTGCATTTGTTTATTTTGTTGAGGCTTTATCGTTCATGGGTTGAAATGTTACTTGGTGAACCATCAACATGGCGAACAGATCTTGTGATATTTACATATAATTTTTCGAGTGAATTTCGAAGACTTGGTTGTGTTCATCGTCTTCGTCAAAATAAGGAAGAACCATCTATGTGTCGACTTTTTCTCTATGTGCCAATACAGTTTCGAACAAAAAATATTACGGATAACAATTTTCAACATGCATTTGATGATGCAAAACGTGTTATAGAATCATATAAAGATATGAATGACTCATTTATTGGTGTACCATTAGTAAATGATAAAGAAACATTTGATGCAAAACGTTCAGAATCTCTTTATGAAAATCTTCGAACATATGGTTATATTGATTCGATTAATTCAATCTATGAAGGTTATTGGACATTTAAAACATATGATTTTATTTTACGTACTGATATTGGTAAGTTTAAGATTTTCTCATGTCTATGAAACTAATGTCTATTAGTTCTTTCATAAGACGAATTAAAGCACTTTTTTGAATATTCTATGCGATTAAGATGTTATATAATGTAAATGAAAGAATATATTTAGTAATGTAAACGGAAGTTGTCTGTTATTATATAGTAATGATTATGAAAATTAATTCAAGAACACATGACTCTAGTTAATGGATACCATTTTCAAGGATATGTTCCGTATTTGATAAGAATTTGTTGAAGATTTATGAACATTTTCCAAATTTTTCAATATCAGATGAAATATTTGCAAGAACAATATAATCAACGATAGAATTTCATTTGAAGCTTTACTCATTTGGAGATCGTATGATCATTAAGAGAACTTTCATGAGCCCATCGAGTATCATTTCAATATACAAACCATTCGATCAAATGTTTTATTGTAATTGTTTTTGTTAATTCAACCCTTCACAATGTCTAAAACTGCCAAGACTAACTTTTTAGGTTCCAATACCCTCGCTCTGAAAAGTTATCTAATACCGACTTTCAGCTTTATAATACCTGTTTGAGAAAAAAACACGAAGAAATACCCTATAAAGGATATGTCAGCTTGCGTTTGAACAGATCATTGAAATTTTTCATGGTATATAACAGATGATAGACAATTAAAAGTTGGACAATATAAGGTATGTGGGTATAATAGAATGTCTAGCAACTCAAGTTTTATAAAGATGAGAAGATGTCTTCCCCGTTTCGATTCGATGGGACAGATTGTTTTCGAATATTTGTTTACCATTTTGTAGAGAGAAAAAAGTTGCACAAGATACGTAAAATTCAGCTGAAGATGTTCTGCTTCTGACACATAGCAGGAAGTACATTTTTGAATTTGTAATGATCAAAAGGACCTCTTTTGATTCGTACTGATTTTACAAAACTTGAATTGATAGACATTAAATTATATGCATATAGTTCATTTTATTCAGCTCTTAAATCTCTATTTTCTGATTTGTTCAAACGCAAGTGGACACATCTTTTATACGGTCTTGCTTCTTGCTTTTTCCCAAAAGGTATAATATTCCTAAAAGTCGGTTTTGGCTAACTTTTCAAAGGAAGGATATTAGAACCTAAAATTTTGGTGATAGTGATTTTAGACATTCATGTGTTGCATGAGCAAAAAAATCATACAAAATTTTTTTTATCGAGTGTGCCATAAACTCGAATCCATCATAGATGCTCACTTAAAAGTTTGTACAACTATTATTGAAAATATTTTCTGTTTCAAAATGGTAAAATGTTAAAAAACTCTCGTTATCGATGCTTTTTATGACATAAGAGAGTTTTCATGTCATTGATTCTATGGAAAAAGAAACAATTTGTTTTGATAAAAACTTTCAAGAAATTCTGAAGACTATTAGACTAATGATTATCTAAAATTTCATTGGGAATGATGTGATCGTATTAGAAGTCTTCATACGTCAGAGAAAAAGATTTCGTCATCTAATTGAACGCAAGACAAGATCTGAGTTCAGTAAGAACATATTAATCTTCATTCTTGTGTCATATCAGATATCATCGACTCATGTCAATGAGGTTAACTAATAATGTAAGAAAAATTCATGTCATTAATATGTTGTAGAAAATGTCTAACCTAATATAAAAAACTGTTTTGATTTAAAACACTAAAATCTAGGAAGATATTGAAATACAAGTATAGGACAGCGCTCAGATTATCATTATTAATAGAATGCTTTGCAATTTTTGCTGAATACTCTATTCCAAATTTGTTTTTAATGATGTTTTAAGTGTAAAATCAATCGTTGTAAATATTTCATCATTAATGGAAGTTGAAAAATCGATGCAATCTCTTAAATCTATTTACCTGGGTATGTTATTATCAAAAACAGATGAAGTTTGTTTTATCACTTCATACGGTGGTTTGATGTTTCGTTATACCTTCGAAAAAGAAAACAAAAGATATATACCGGGTGGGCCAGAATAAATGGCGGTCTGAGTATTTTGACTATAACTTTTTTTCTCTTTGATTTTTAGAGCTGGTTGTTTTGCCCAAAGTTGCGCCGTGAAATTCTCTACAAAACCATAACTAAAGTTATTTTCGTAGAAAGTTGAGGGAAAAAGCTAAATGAATATTATTCAAAACATAAAAAGTGCCCAACTTTCAAAGTTAGCTAGTGTCTCATGTATGCTTGGTATTTACATACCCTTTTTAATTATCAAGTAGGTGTATTTTAAAAACAAAGTACACTCCAAGATGCAGCATGAAAAGCTCTACAAGATACATTAAAAACTTTATTTTATACATACACTTTTTATTTTCTAAATGATCAAAATTCTGTGCGACCAGTTTTCAACTCTGCGAAAAAGACCATTTTTTGGTCGCACGAAATTTTACATATTTTAAAAACAAAAGATGCATGTATATAAAATGACTTGTTCTTTGTAAGCTGTAGAGCTTTTCACACTGCATCTTGTGGTATATTTAATTTTCTTTTAATAGAATATATTAACTGATACAAGGTTGAAATAAGAAAAACGAATTCGTAGTGTACCAAAAAAATGATCTTGTTCGCAGAGTCGAAAACTGGTCACACACAATTTTGATGATTTTGAAAATATAAGGTGTACATAAAAAATAAGGCTTTTCATGTAACTTGTAGAGCTTTTCACGCTGTATCGAATAGTATACTTTGCTTTTAAAATATGTGCACTAGAGGAGGATAAAAAAACGAGATACAAACACTAGCCATTCGTAGAGCACCCATTAGCTTTGAAAGTTGAGCACTTTTTATGTTTTGAATAATATTCATTTAGCTTTTTCCCTTAACTTTCTACGAAAATAACTTTAGTTATGGTTTTGTAGAGAATTTCACGGCGCAACTTTGGGCAAAATAACCAGCTCTAAAAATCAAAGAGAAAAAAGTTATAGTCAAAATACTGAGACCGCCATTTATTCTGGCCCACCCGGTATATATCAAGTTCAAAACAAACTAGTCAAATATGTATGGTTTTGAGTCCATACCTGTTTGGATAGTTTATTTGATCGTTAGAATTATTGATGTTGAGATAATATCTGATTAGCAGTAATATGAACTCGTGAAAAAGGGACGTATTTATTCGATATTCTACAATCAGCACTTCAAAGTAAGTAGTTAAGTATTCTTAGGTCAAATCGTATAGGACCATTATGCATAATTAACGTGCCATCTATCTTAAAAATAAATCAGAATATGGAACATACAGTGACTCATATTCATCATGTGACAAGGTCAGTTCAGGTGACAAAATATTATCGATTTCTTTATCAATATAGGTATCGCATTGCCGTTGCTCATTATACATTTATTATATACTGAAACAAAGCAATAAACTAATAGATGATTCGAAGTAGAAACTACAATAACTAGATTTCTGTTAGTGTATCTGACGTATAATAAAGTAGAAGTAAATGATTATTGCATCGCCACAAATATATTGTATGAATAACATTCACTGATATGAAAATAATTTTTTTTCGAATTTCTCAAAATAAACAAAGAAACATTGCATGTGTGCGAAATTCGATAAAGAATATAGGAGAAAAAAAGAAAACGTAATACTTCTTTCAAACAATATTTGTCTTGTTATCGTTGAGTCAAATTTATATAATAAAAACTGTATAACAGTTGAGTTTCTCTAAAGCGTCTTTGATTCCTTGATCCATACATAAGTGACATATGATTCAGAGAACTACCTTTTCTATGATATAAATGACAAACAATGGCCATGAACAGTTGAATCAACTATAACTCTAACACTTTTAAACCAATTTTTTTTTCATTAAACATCAGTATGCAATCTCTTTCTAACACTTTTTTCTTTTTTTCTTTGATTTTTACTGATTTTATCCAACCATTTTCTCATATAATATTATTTAGATGTTTTCATTTATCGTCATTTTGCAACATATATTCCATCAAATTGCACTTTCATAACTGGTGGCGGTGGTTATAGTACAGATTTTAATCGACGTAAATTGAAACGTATTGCTAATGATATGGGTTTTGTACATGTCGATATAACTAACATGGGTTCTACTTGGTTTGTTTCAATATTTTTCCTCTTTTTAATAATATTATTCTTTTCTTCATGTAAAGGTATGGTTCACCATATGATGCATATTTAGTTGCTAATCAAACACTATATGGTATGCTATGGTTAGCACATTATGAATTTGCTATGCCGGAAAGAGAGTCTAAATTAGGAACATTAATGTGGCCTGAATGGTAAATATTTTTTTATGAAATCAACTAAAATACATATACTTTTCTAGGCATTTTGGTGTTTTACTTTTATATGGTCAACATTTAGCGCTAAACCATTTAGTTGGTATAAATCAAATTCGACTACGAATGGGTCAAGATCTTCTTGATTTATCATCAACAGATGATAGAGTGGAATATGTTCAACAAGGGATACGTCTTAATTTACATTGTTGGCATACAGATTTACCTTTTTCAAAATTTGCTTTTAAAATGGGTAAATATAATCAAACTGACTTAGAAAAATATAAAAATGATACTACTGCTCAAGCTTATGTAAGAACAAGAGTGAATGGAGAGAGAGAGAGATGCTAAAAATGTCTATTTTTCATTTGTATTTAAGGCAATGCGTATGGCACTTGAATCAAAGTATATGACACTTGAAGAATTGGCTTCATATGGAAGAAATAAATCTTTATCATCTTAAAATATATTAAACTTTTATCATCATCTATTGAATAGTTGCAATAAGATTCGGACTGTATCGTATTATAAAAAGTTATTTTGGTTTTTATTTATTCATAATGCGGAGACAACTTTAAAGAGTTACATAATAACAGAGTTTCATGTTTATTCAATTGCAAGAGAAGATATTTTTGTGAATAAATAAATATATTCGTATTGTACTATGATTTTTTTACGTTGTTGTGACTGAGGCTCTCGATTTTGTTTCGAGAATGAAGAAGGTAGAGAATAACAAAATTATGTCAGAAACTCATTTCTCTCAGAATCTTTTATGTTCAGCTCGGTGGAATTTCTTACGATCGTCCACGCGCGAGCATTTGTTTCAGTTTCCTTGGTTAAAAAATTTTTTTGAAATTTTTTCCTATACTTAAATCCTATTATAAATCTATTATCCGATATACAATATGATAATGGTTATAGTCGTTCATGTTTTGTTTGGATAGTTTCTTCAGTCATCGTGTGTTTTTGACAAGTATGACCTTTCGAATTCTTTTTCTGCCATCCAGTTATCATAATCCAGACAAATTAGTTTCATAGATACTGTTATGATGGTCATGCATGAGCGCACAATAATCAAATATGAATATATGAATGAATTGCATAATAATTGTACCGTTGTATTCTTAAATGTAAAAGTTCAACATCCCCAGTTCCTTTCAATCAACTTCTATGATTTGTTTCAGATGAGACTCCTTCGAAAGTTCCCACTACCATATAAAACAATCACTACTTTATCTCAAACTAGTCCCGAGATATTATAGACATAAGGCAAAAAAGATTGAATATATAGTACATTGTCTACACATCTAGATTACAAGACTGATTGGTGCTTACATCACAATTTTCCTTATAGATTTTTATAAAGATCATGTGTATGATCATTATTCAGTTTTGTCTCATGTCAGATTTAAAATTTGGCTGTATGATTCAGCTATTCATGTAAAAATGGCCGGAGTAGTAGTTTAAAATGAAAGCCAATAAGAGATGTGGAGATAAAATTATTAACAAAGGTGAATAAATTGAATTGTTTCTAGTCAAGAAAAAGTCTGAAACAAAAGCTTAAAAGATCGATTGTCAACGTAGCAAGGAAATATAATTAAAGACTCAAGCCGTATAGGTCGTTTCTTTTGGTCATAAGTAGACATCGATAAGGTATGAAAAACTTGAAGAAGATTCATTTCACCACGCCTTTCTTGCCGATATATGGCTGTTTGACTGAGTCTTCGGTTAAAGACACCGTACTTTGGAAAGAATCAAATGAATGAATATTAATCAAACTTTTGTCTATAAATAAGTATAATGATTCGTAGTATATCTCTAGCATTTCAGTCAAGATTGATGCTCTCTTAGCGAGATATTCTGTTTGAAGATGATCTCGACTTTAGCATATCCTCTCAAAATATGGGTGTTCATTGGAATTCTCGTAGATTCCTATAGAAGCATTCATTTAGACTGAAACGTTAGAGATATTCTACGAATCGCTGTAACTATATATAGGCAAAAGTTTAGATAAAAATTCATTCATTTAATTTTTCTTGAAGTATCGTGTCCTTGACCGAACACCCAGTGAAACGGTCATATCTTGGGAACAAGGGCAGGAAGGAATAAATCTTTTTCAGATTTTTCATACCTCAACGGTGTCTACTTATGGCTGAAAGATAAGAGCTAAACTGCTTGAACCCCTAAGTATGTTTCTTCGTTAGTTATGGCGATACAATACTATAATTGTTGAGTTTGTTTTCATATATATCTTTTCAAAACTTCATTAAACTGTTCGATTTTGTAATCTCTATGGTCGATATCAAAGGATTAAAAATAGATCTTTTCATCTCATTTTCTTGTTTTCTGTTGAAATAGTATTAATAAAACTAATTAGTTTCTTCTACATGATCCAGGTCAAACAGTACCGTTATGAGATCTTGCGCCATTCTTACAGGATCATATAGAAAGTTATGATATGACTTCTCATAATCATACAAAACCGTATGATAATCCATTAGGATTTTTAATGCCAATCTTAAAGATACTACTGCCGATGAAGTCGTTCTTTACGATTCTTGTATGATCAATGTATCATATTTTCAGAGTTTCTGACAACGTTGCAATCCGATGGTGAGATCTGCTCTGAAGATCTTGCGTCTGATTTTTTGACCTGGACTAGTATTATTTCACTTGATTAAAAATGAAATTTATTCAGTTTATTTTTACTAAAAATTTAATTTTATCTGTGGCATACATATGTATTCAGATAAATAAATAAATAAATATAGATGAATAGAACAGCAGTACAAATCTGTTGCGTTTTATTTTTCTTTACTTAAATTAATCCAATATTGTTTGGTTCTTACTTTCAGTTACCGTCTTTGATCAATATGGTGTCGAATATACTACTTTTTGCGATATTTTATTGAAATTTTTCCTAAAGTATTTTTTATAATAATAGTAGCACAATTGTAAAAAAAAATAGCAAGACGTACGTCAAGTATGTGTTTTAAAATTTTTGAATGATACGAAAGTGTGATGAATCATTATGACAGTTTACCATTGAATAGTAATACCACGATTTTGAATTGATACCACTGATAAAAAAGCAAAACTCTGTATACCTTTGGCTACTTTCAGTTAATGACCAATTTTCTAAGAAACATTTTATGCAACAAAAACACAAAAGGCATTTTCAAGTTCAGATAGAGAAAAGCTCGCTTACAAAAACTATTTTACTTTCTGTGTATTTTCCATAGACTCTTATTACGTAAAATATTATTCAAGGACTGCTCAAACTAGAAACAGTTCTCCTAATAAAAACAAGGTCTTTCACTCGAAAACTATCACTATTTATGCAGTTAATTTTCAAGATAATTGAATGATTTTAGTATTATTGGATTCAGAAGATATTTCTCTTGTCAATAATATGAAATATTTACAAGTTCCTTGAGAAATAGCTTGAAGAAAAATATTTACGTCTCTGCAAAGGCTGTTAGAATTACTAAGATTGCGTACAATTATAGAGACAAGTATAAAACGAAAAAAAAGAAAGAATTCAATCTTTTGACACAATCGAAATCTTCTATGTTGGACGTGGGTCACTCAAAAAGGCTCAACGAGTCTAGAACGAATAAAAAAACGAACAAATAACACAGCATTATCGAATAATTACAGTGCAAGATATTTATCTTATAAATAAGACTCACTGTGTTAATCATCGCTTATTTTCTTCTCCTTTATTCATTCATTTCATGCATCATCGATCATTAATATTTATTCTCGTCCAAACAACGCTTATAGGGCAATTCGAGTCATTCTGTATACAATATACATTGACCTTGACAACACACAACTATTATTTCTTTTTTTTTTTGTAATACAATGTCTAAAAAGTGGCTAAAGAAAAAATCAAGTGAGTTCAAATTTAACCAGGTGTTTCATTCATGTTGTATGAAAGCAATGAATCGAGAGAGAGAGAGCAGAAATGATTCCATTCTATCACCCATCTACACCAGCATGCTTATCGTCAAATGAAAAAGAATAACTTAATGAAATTATACATACATAGCAAATTGTAGTTTCGATATGAGAAAATATGAACAAGAGAGAAAATAAACATATATTTTAACATCCTTAAATACTAAAACAATAGATATGAGACAGACTATAGAACTTTCTCCAGTTCTAGACGAAATTAATTTCAAACCTTTTATAAATCCCTGTCAGCTATCTCGACAACATTTTCACCTTTATCTATGATCATGAGGTCATAAAACTTATTTTTTGAAAGTTTTAGCTTCAGAACTATGCTAGTCATTGCTAGTATTTTACCTTTTTGAGCAGTGTTCACCCATTTCAAAAATATAAATAATAGCATATGTTGTGAAGAAATATATTCTCCACAAAATAGTCTAATAAAACTGTTGCTATACAATGTACAGTACTGCTTTTATTTATCGAAAGTACTAAATCTTCATTGTTTAATAAAGAGTTTGCTAAGTTTGTGGATCCATACATATCATTATTTAGCAATGAGAAGTACGAAAGCCCTGTTCAATTTTATTCCCTTTTTAAAAAAATGATCTTGTTCAAAACAATCACGTGAAATACAGACGAGAAGGAAGTAAATCTTGACAGAACCTTGTTTTAGAAAATTAACAATAGTCGTTTATTTTTTTACTATACTTAAAAAACAACAGTGATAAAAAATTTATGACAAAAGTTTCCACACGAGTTTGGTCCTCATTCTTACATGGAAAATAAAACGGAATAATACTATTGCATTGTCTTCTTCAGAAGGGTGTTAAGCAACAAGCGATATAAGATGGAATAGAATGATGATAGTTATGTCTCTTTAGATTGGATCTTCTCAGAAATCATCAAATAATTATGTAATGACTTATCTAGATTTCACTTGAAATGTTCTATCAGCATTAAAGAAAAACATATTTAAATAGGTCATCTTTATTTCAAGGAAACTCAAAGCTTGATAATTCACAATAACAAATATGGTTATTCTGATCAATCGAGGATGTGTAGGTCTTGAAGAAAGTTAATAGAAGCTTTTTTCTTTGTTCTAAGATTTAATAGTGGAATCATTATGGAAAGAACCAATATAATTCCGCTAGAAGTGTGCTTTTTCAATATCGATTCTTTATTAATGGCGTAAAAAGATCTCTTTAGACTCGAAATAAGCTATTTCTTTTCTTTTTAATGTTTAGTTCGCACACATCGTGTCACATTACGTTTGATCCTATTAATTATTGGAATATGTATCTGCTGTATTCTATTAACATTCGCAATAAGTAACTTCGGTAATGATACTCATCAAATAGAACCAGAACCAGTTAAATGTGATTGTTCATTAACACAAAATTCATTTCCTCAAACAATTCCATCAGTATCAAATATTACTCCAAACAAACCCATATTAAAACCATGTAAACCAATTAAAAAAACTTCTCCTGTACAACGTGCCATTGTTATTTATTATCCAAGTCATCAAAGTGAATATTTTTTTCCAGAAGTCAAATGGTAAGCATAAACAAGACATAAATGTATAACTGATAAATAATAACAGACTTTTATTTTGAATCAAATCTTTTCGTCATAAAAACAATCGATTGGTCACTTTTCAGAATGATCTATTTTATTACTGATATCGAATTTTGCTTGCATGTAGAATATCAGATTTGTATTGATCGATATCCTTGTTTCAGTTTTTAGTGTTCTTTGTCTTAGTGAAACCTTTCCTCTTTTTTTTTGAGATATGATATGTTAGGTTTTTTCTGTCATTAAGGCTTTATCGTTCATGGGTTGAAATGTTACTTGGTGAACCATCAACATGGCGAACAGATCTTGTGATATTTACATATAATTTTTCGAGTGAATTTCGAAGACTTGGTTGTGTTCATCGTCTTCGTCAAAATAAGGAAGAACCATCTATGTGTCGACTTTTTCTCTATGTGCCAATACAGTTTCGAACAAAAAATATTACGGATAACGATTTTCAACATGCATTTGATGATGCAAAACGTGTTATAGAATCATATAAAGATATAAATGACTCATTTATTGGTGTACCATTAGTAAATGATAAAGAAACATTTGATGCAAAACGTTCAGAATC